TACCTACCTACCTACAGATTGATCTACCTACCTACCTACCTACAGATTGACCTACCTACCTACCTACCTACCTACCTACCTACCTACCTACCTACCTACCTAGAGATTGACCTACCTACCTACCCATCCATCCATCAATCCATCCATCCATCCATCCATCCATACATACATTCAATTTTGTTTTGCTGTAATGCAGAAATAAATGTAATATTGCAGTATTTTTGCACACAAAATTTAATTGTTGAACACGTAATGACTGCAGATGTCACATCACTAACCAGTAGGTGGTACATGAGCACTCCATCAAAAGAAGATCTAATRTGAAAAGGACCCTAAGGCCTCCCATAGCCTATCATCATTATTGTTTTCCTTTTTTTCACAGCCTGACCACTGATTGTTTCTTCCACACATCCTATAACCACTAAACACATAGCAGAAAGTTACAGACAGAGAGCAGCTGGCAGAAAAACACAGCTTTTTTTAGGCTCCTGAGGGTTTATTTTAGTTAGAAACCACAGTGAAGCACGACTGAACGTGTAGAGACAATAAAATATGGAGCAAGAGGAATCAGCAAAAATAAGCAACATTCATTATGCAGAATTTTGTCGAGTCACAGTTGCCCTTCTATCAGATAAAAAACATATACAGAAACTGCAGTGTTACTATTTACACAAAATAATGACATTAGAGAGAGAAACTATCAGTGCAGCAGCTGGGACTTTTCATGCTTAAGATTTGAGTAAATTACTTTATAACTTGAATATATTTGAATTTAGTGATAAATATTTATTAATGTTACAAATTACTTTTAAGCGAGGAGTGGTTGTCAAACTTACACATAAAAATAACACACTACAAACAATAAATACCATTGTACAAACATATCCCACACACTAAAAGTGAAAACCAGCACCCCACAGTGTATCTTTTAAACCCTATTTAAAAACAAAGTCTGTGTCCATCCCCACCCTCCGTCCCTCAGAGGAGCCGGTTCAGCTTCTCCGACTCCTTCTCTTTGGCCTCGAAGGCGCTCTTGGTGCCGAGCAGCTCGTCCACCGAGCCCATCATGTCCTGCAGTTCTCGGGCCAGCTCGGCGTAGCTCTCCCTCAGCTCYTCCTGCTGCTGCCTCAGGTCCGCCGCCACCTGCAGCAGCTCGCTGGCCTGATCGCTGCAGCCGCTCCTCAGCTGCTCCACGTCCAGCAGCAGCGTCTCCATGTTCTTCATCACCTGGTCCAGACTGTCCGCAGCCGCCTCCAGCTCAGAGGAGTCCAAGCTCTCCAGTTTCAAGCTCATGTTGCCTAGGCTCTCGAAGTCTAGGTTCTCAAAATCGGGGTTCTCGTTGTCTGGGTTCTCTTTGTCTGAGTTCTTGTTGTCTTGTTTCTTGTTTGGGTTCTCATTGTCAGGGACCGGGATCCTATCTTCTACCTCTGGCTTTGCATCCATCCTCCTTTTATGAGAGCTCCCAACCGATTCCTCCTCAGCTAGATGTCACTTTAACAGCTATATCTGAAAGTAAAGGGAATCATTTATGGAAAAAAGTCGAACGATTAAAGAAGAACTCTGTTCAACTCTGCCTCCTGTAAGTGTGAGGAGCCTAATCTCCTCGCTGGAGGTATAAAAAAACAAATAAATAAAAATACACTCCTGACTAATCTCCTTCACATGTGCACATGCAAGTGATGRGTGCTTATAGGTGTTTGTGTATTTTCGTGCCTTGGTGTCCTCTCTCTGACACGCAAAGTCCTGTAATCCAGTTTGCACAATCAGTACCCTCCCATTGACTGTCTGGCAGATTAACCTCCCTCTGAGATCACCAGGGGGACGGCCTTCACACACGCAGATATACTAGGAGCTTAATGAGTTACAGTCACGTCAATGAACAAAGTAGGGAGAGCCCATTTTTACTGAAACTATTAGTGCGTAATGATTGTGACTGCATGTGTCAATGTCTTTCACAAACTGCTGCCTAATAAAATAAACTATTRGTTAAAAACAATTGTGACAAATATTTGTAGATAATATAAAGTATTATGTCAAATTTTTCCTTCACGTTTTAAATTGCGTGTTTTTGTTTTGTAGTTTTCCCTAAAGCCGCCTCTAAGAATGAAAGTAGAAAAATGTGAGGAAGTGAAAACATGARCCACGTGTTCTTAAGACTTTTAAAGACCCGGCAGAAGGACCTACCCTTTAAATGGTCATAAAGATAAGAAGTCTACATGATGACCTCACTGCCCCAAAACCCCTTATCAAAACCTGACAACTGCGCTGAGGGGGGCCGGAGTCAAGGGGGAAACTTGTCTTATTCTAAAAATGGTGACAACAAATAAATAAATGAATAAATTAAAAACAGATTTACAGAAATGAATAATGAACAAAGGGAATAACTTAAGACAAAAAAAAAAAAAACACCTTGGGACACACAAAAAAAAACCTTTTCTGGAAATATGAGAGGAACAATGTAAAATAAACCATTAAATATTTTAATTAAATCTTAAATGCAAGAGCAACAAACCTTGTGTCATGATGGAAAAATCATTCAACATATTCAGACTTCCTGCATGTTTTTAAAAGAAAAGTTTTTTTTTCATAAAAAGCAAAAGAAAACAAAATTTAACTTATGAGACAAATTGGAGATTTTAAAACGGCACAAGTTCAGTTTTGACATAACAGACATGTCAAGATGAGTAATAAGAAAATAGAGATGAATAAAAATATAAACAAAGTCAAGAGGTCCTTACTTGTTTCTGTGGCTGTTTATGTTGAGTATCCAGAATGTAAAACCCTCTGGCTGAATATTATTCAAAAGGGGTGTGAAGTTAAACCCTCTACAGCTCAGTGGGTCTGCCCACTCCACACCAACTGTACTCACATCACTTTAATCTAACTGTATTCATTTCACTGTACTCTAACTACACTTTAACTACACTCATTTTTTGTACTCTAACTACACTCTAACTACACTCATTTTTTGTACTCTAACTATACTCTACTACACTCATTTCACTGTACTCCAACCACACTCTAACTACTCATTTTACTGTACTCTAACTACACTCTAACTATACTCATTTCACTGTACTCTAACTACACTCTAACTGTACTCATTTTACTGTACTCTAACTATACTCTACCTACACTCATTTTACTGTACTCTAACTACACTCTATCTACACTCATTTCACTGTACTCCAACCACACTCTAACTGTACTCATTTTACTGTACTCCAACCACACTCTAACTGTACTCATTTTACTGTACTCC